GGATGGTCTCCCCTCAAATCCTGGCTTTCTCTGGAGAAAATATTGGATTTATGGTAAGGAAGAAAGCTACACCACACTCACAGAGAGCTTGTGTGAATTGTAAATTATGGAGTGTACCACAAACCTAATCTGTATGGCCATGTAGATCCAGACTGGAGATAAGGTTCAAGGGTGCAGTTTGTCTAAATCAGAGCAAGGTTATGGAGGACCAGTTTTAGCTCCAAATCTGTGCTTGAGCCATCTACATGCCCTCACCAGCAGCTCCGTTTTCAAAGCATGTCCTTAATCATCACCATGAAATCCTCAGGACACAGAACTGTGAGCTACTTGCACTGACAGCTGTGCAGGAGACAGGTCTCATGGTTGTTCAGTCAAAATGCAGTGGTGGTGGTGTCCTTTTTGCAATGGCTTACTGGGCAGAAAGACAAACTTGAACATCACCACAGACATAAAGACACCAGATATGGCCGTGATGGCAATCCAAACCAGGATACAAAACTGTATGAGATATGGGAAAAAATAACCAAAGCGCTCAATGCCACATAAGAATGATGAAACATGAAAATATTGACTTCTGAGGCTTGAAAAATAACCATGCTAAAAGCAAATCAGTTTAGAATAGCAATTTTTATGGAGACAGAAAATATAGAGAAGTTTTGCAAATAACTAAACACTGTAGTTGTAGATGATCTTTACTTTATAAAGGTACCTCCAGAGCTTTAAAGGACTGTTCTGTCCTTATGTCACAATTGATAGGAATTTAATTATTCCACTTGAGGATTATTTACCTCTTAGACACATTTTATGCTTTTGGCTCACAAATCAAAACTAGTTATCAGTAAAAGCTATTAATTTCTCTTAGAGAGTTTTCTTTTGAGTTCTTGTGCTGAAACACTAGTCTTGAATAACTTTCCTATATAATTTATAGAAAATGGCTAGTTTCTGTCTCGAATTTACCCACTTTATGTGTTCTTTACCACAGGCTAAGGGTTTAATCCATTTCAGAGGAGCATTAAAGCTCTTAAATTTAAAAATTAAAAATTCCTTCCTTTCTCTGGGAATGTAACTTGGTTTTAAGAATGAGAGATCTCTGTTTAGCCAAAAGATGAAAGTTGGAAATGAGATAGATGTCCCTAGATAGGTCTATAAATCTTGAGCGCGATGTTCCGGTTTGGAATCACCTGCAATCCACATGCCACCGTAGCCTCAGGCACTGACGTTAATCATTCTTATTTCAATGGTCACAAAGGGATCAAGACGTCAGCTGTATCAGATCCTGATCCAAATTCTCCTGACATGTATTATGAATTTCTGGGATGCTTGAGTTGAAAAGGATAGTTATAGAGTAAAGTGACAGTGAAGTAGTAAGCAGGTAAGAGTAAACAAAAGATAGTAAAGATAGCAAAGTACAGTGATTTGAATGATATAGTAAAATGGGAAGGTGTGAAAATAGCTGTGATTTTTTACATCTTCCCATTGTAGCATATTTTTCTAATATATTACTATGTTTTCTACTTTGACAACAACTTCATATGCATCATTTGACTACAGGAGTGCATAAGCTGATTGGAATTACCAAAATCGTTTTAGTTTCTGTGTGAGACATGACCAGAAGTATCCATGAGGTCCTCCAAGGGAGATTCAGAATCCCGCACAGTAGTGAAATCCTGTCTTGCCTCCAAAGATTGTAGAGCTGGAGGACTTTCTGCCACATTGTGACAAATGCAATAGAAAATACTGTACTACCTCTGAGGTTGGACTTAGTAGCCTTAGTAGACCAAAGTATCAGTTTACCAGCCAACTGAATTGACTTTTGGATATGTAATATCATGGACTGACTCTATTTGCACTCTGAGTTGCTCAGGTCCCTAGCTCAAGTCTGGGAGCTGTTTTGATAGGTGAGCATAGGACTGTATTTGAAATAATGAAACTTGGACTGGAGATAGGCTGTGCAATGGTTTTCATCTGACCATACAGCATTATCCTTGCAAAATATGTGTTCAGCCATGCAGAAAATTTAAGCTAAAAATAAACTGAAGCTTCTCAAAGACAGTTAAATGTCTGGCTCCCAAATCAATGAAAGGTAGCTTTGGAAATAGCTTCAATATGCTAAAGCAAAAAAAGGCATACCTCAGTATGTACCTTTCTCACAGTTGAGCTTCCAAAACACATAAATATCAATAGTGATTCCTGGATTTCAGTATTTCAGCTAAAATTCCATGTATATGGTATTTTTTTATTTACATTGTCTTTAAAATGAGAATCATTACATGCCAGATTTCAATGGCAAATACAAGACTTCTATAATCACACAGAAAGCAATCATATCTATGTTTGCTTGAGAATAGGGTTACCTTTTTAGTCATGTTCTTCATTTCCCCCCTTTGCTGTTGTGCTTTTTAGCATAATACAAACCTAAAATGCTCTTGTGCTTGCCAACTGGTGGACAGCCGTGGGAGCCGATTTAAGCAGTAAGCAAAATCCCCCATCTGGTATCTGGACTTCCAATGTATGTCCTGCACATTAGCACAGCTGAGGCTCCAGCTGAGACCCTCAATGCATTTCCACCAGGTGAGCCAAAATATTAAGCCAGGAGGTGCTTTACTAAACTTGTCTCAGCTGGAAGCTGGTCTCTGTGATATTTTTCAGTGTTACTAAATTAGTTCATTCCATTCATAGATTCTACTTTAGAACAGTTTTACTCTTTTCCGCAGGCAACCTGTTTTTTATTACAACCTGTTTTTATATGAATCTTGTTCTGCAGATTTCTTGGAAGAAAGAAAAATGGTCTCTGAGCTTGAAGTGTGTTTGGTGCCATTCACTGATTTATCAAGTGAATTTGGCATCAGGCCTTTTTTTCTCTTACTGAAATATCATATTGCTCCCTGAAAGCTTTGTTAAAAAGACCAATGCCCAGTGATCATAGTAGCTGTGATTTGTATGGAATACATTGCGTGGTTTAAGATTTTTGAAGTATGCTGCCTTTCTTACAGAAATGATCTTATTATTGACTCTCATATAGTTTCCCTGACAGAAGAGAGATAGTAATAATACCCATCATGAACATCTGAAATTTCTCTTTGGGTCACAAGATTGTCTCCAGTCTCATCTCTGTATTCTCAATGTAGTCTATGTCTAGGTTCTTATGTTATTTGTAGGCCTAATTCCTTCCACCTTTGGAAATATAAAAGTAGCTTCAGAGTCTAACTTTAAAGCACTGTCAATGGGAAAGAATAAACACCCTCATTTAAGTTTGGGCTTTCTTTGTTAGCACCTGTCAAAAGTTTTTGAAGCCGCTGCCTGTTTTGAGCCAAGTGAAGGCACAATTACTTGTCAGAGAGATCTCTGGTGATGATTGCCTAGAGGAAAGGACCTTATTAAGACAATCACCAGGGTAAACAGAGAGAGGTCAGCCCTGGTGTTTATATTTGGTTTGCCTAACAACCAAAAGGCTGCCAACTGTTCATATGCATGGCCAATCACATCCTGACCAAGGGCACAGCCTCTGCCTGGCCAGCAAGCAAAGTACACAGGTAGAAGACATGGGAGATCCCAACCTCTGCATGCAGGTGCAAGGCATGTAGATTTGAGGTTAAGGGTACTCCGAGCAGGTGAGTGTGGTATGGCTCAGAGCTGGTCACACTGGGGGATATATTGGGGGTCACAGAACAAAGCTATTGCATGGTTAATTCCACTTAAAAATAAGAAAAGCTGTTTTACTATGAAGGTTGTCAGATACTGACAAAAGTTGCCCAGGGAGACTGTGGAGTTCCTGGAGGAACTCCAACTGGCCATGACCTCAAGTAACCTCTTCTATTTGACTCTACTTGGACAAGGGCAGGCAGCAAACATCCAGAAGTCCTTCCAATCTCTGCAATTCTATGACTTGGTGAAGCATAGGGCACATGGGAGTGAGGAGAATCCAAAGTGGGGATGCCAGGAACGTGGGACATGCTAGAGGGTGTCATTGAAGGGCATAAGTGACATGGAAGGTGGGTGGGCAAATGGGGAAGGCTGCTGTCAGGGAATTGTTACGGTACTGTGGGGCTGTGACATAGAAGGACAGTAAGAGTTCCCATAAGACCACGGACATAGCAGTGTATACTGAAAAGGATACATAACAGATGCTGGAGGTGGGATTCGCAGGAACCAGGGGAGATGGGTTTATCACCTGAGAAGATAAGGAATATAGAGGAGCCCTAGGAAACATAGCTTAATTGGTTCCACGGGCCCTGAGAGGCTTGCTATGTTTCATCATGTTTTCGGTTCTTCAAATGTTTTCAACTCTTTTATGCAGAATCTTGGCTGCTGGTTTGTTTTTTCTCTGTCATTATTGGGTTTGGGGTTTTTTCCCTCCTTAATTTTTGCTTTAATATCATGCATCTCAGTGAGACCATTTTTCACTTTCTTGACTTAATTGTAGGCAAGAGGTGGAACCTGCTTACCATGTGTTACTTTATTATGTATTCTTTCTTTCTGTGTGCTACTCTTTGATTTGAATTACTTTGTTTGGCTCTTTTATTGTGGTTACAGGGTGCTAATGCACTTCCAGCATATCATAGGAGTCATTCATATCAGAAGAGTCTAGCTTTGATCACGCTTTTCCTGTTATCCTTGTTGATTACCGCTATTTGCATATTAGTTTATTCCCCAGGTTTGTGATCTGTTATTTGGTCTGGTTCCATCCTCTGTCTCTCCAGGATCCTTGTTTGCTTTGCTTTCCTGCTTTGCTTTGCTTTGGTGTAAGAGATGTTTCAAAACTAATTGATTTCAAAGGCAAAGGTTTGTTTTACACATTTGCTTTTTTAACTTTGGGCAGTGTGGTAGTTTTAGTCTAGGCCTTCCTTGGTGACTAGTTTGCACCCAAGGAAGTGGCCATATTACTCGGTATTCCCTATGATTTTTACATAAGCCAGGGGTATAAAGAAGAAGGGAGAAGAGGCCTTTGCCCTCTTCCCTTCCGGTGGCTCTGGAGGTGCAAGTTCCCTGCTGTCGGTTCTGCCGTGTGGGGGAGTGGGGCCTAGCGAGGCCTAGTAGGACACTGGGAGGCGGAAGGTGCCAGTGGTTGTCCAGCACGACTGTGCTGTCCCAAGGAGAGTAGTAAGATATTCTTTTGTTAATTCTTTAGTTGCTAGATATTGACTTTTTGATCGTGTATATTTTATTTTGGTTTTGTTCCTTTTTCCTCTCCCCTCCCTTCCCTTTCCCTTTTCCTTTTGGAATTGATTGTACATAGTATTTCAACTGTATATAACTGTATATAACATAAATACATTTATTTTCATATAGTTTGGCTAGTTTTGATTTTTCATAGTTTTTTTCCTTAGCTCTTTGACGGAGTTTTTTTTGTGTTGGGTCTGGGGACTTGGTGGGGAGCCAAGTAAAACTTAGACAGGCAGTTTTAGTTTATTTCATTACAAATGAGTCTTCAATGTTCACTAGAGATCATGTGGTGAATTGTTTACTATTAAATACCTGGTTGAAATAGGAAGTACAATAAAATGACAGTGCTTTAACGAATCAGTCCTGAGAAAATCAGGAAAACATTTCTTCAGCGTTAAGATTTTGGCAGGGCTAAGTGTGCTTCTACATACAGATGTCGTATTTCTGTCTGTGTGAAAGTTTGCAGTCAGCTTCTAAACTCATACAGTGAGAAGTGCCTAGTTTTTCTAGTGTTCGGGATAGTGAAGGCCATTTAAACTATCTGCTTCTGTCTCCTTTGTAAAACCATACATTCACTACTCTGTTCTGTAGAGTAGTGCTCCTCATTTTGTTAACTGCCTATGAACCTGCACATTGGGTAAATGAGGTGTTGATAAATGGGAAGTAAAGACATATCCAATTACGAGTAATAGTGCAAGTTCTTTGTCTGTGGCTGTCATCTCCCTCTAGACTTCTCCTTGTGGCTGAGTAGATTCATCCATTTGGTCGTATTAACAATTCTCAAGTTGACTTCTACTTCCGCTGCACATGCCTGCTCTGAGGCTCATGCTCTTTCTCTTGGATGTTTCACCTTGGATTGGCTGCCATCCCGTATCAAACTGAGTACCTCCAGAACTGAAATTTCAAGGCTGCCCTTGAAATCATCTCTGCTTCTCTAACCTCCAGCACTGTCAATGACAAGACTTTCTCTCTCCTCTCTTGAAGATGACTTAAGAGCCTCTCAGACACCTACTCTTCCAGATCAGACAAAATTTCACTGTCACAACTTCCTGTTGCCTCACCTCTGGTTCTCTTCCTTGGGTCCCATGAGTATATCAAATTCAGAATCCTTGCTTTTCTGTATGAAGTTTCCACTTTTTAATTGGCCATAAACATTTTTCATACCTCTTTTCCTCCTTCCAATGAGATTTCTCCATGTGATTATTCATTTAAGTAGAATCTGCTTAATGACAATTTATTTGCTTCCCTTAAGCTCACCTATGGCAGTGCCTATTCAGTAGGGTGAAGAGCAAGACGGACCATAAGCACAGCAACAACCATGACCTGCACCCTTTTTCTTTACCTTGTGAAAGAGTACTTCAGCTGCTGCTCCAGCTCAAATCATCCATAGTGTGAATGGGTTGAGTTAATGAGATAGATCCAGTCTGATTGAGATGTTCACAGGTGCTCAGGCTCTACCCTTCCAGAAAGTCATAGACTGAGATCCGTATGTCCCATTATAAATTTTTATATATCCTGAGCAGGTGATGAACAAATGAAGGTCACATCACAACTCCCTCACCTTATTTTCCTCCACAATTTTTTTTTTTAGGATCTTTACAAAACTGGTTTCTCAGACCTACACATTCATCCTATTCAGGTTGTTCCTGAAAGTTTCCATCCAGAGCTGAAAGCATGTATTCTGCATGAACTGAAGATGCATATAAACTTTTGTACTACCAGTTGCCCTAAGCTAAACCAATCTGTAATGTGGGTTATTGTTCCCTATTTCTGGACATCCTTCCATGTTCTGTGAGTCCTGCAAATCTACAAGGTCTTCCCAGGCCATCAGCATGGTGGTTCTTATAGTTTCTCTGAGTGGCCAATCAAGACATTTTACACCATGGTCCCATATTGTTAATTTTCTTGAATCAGTCTTTAGTGATGCCAGACCACAAATCCTACTGCCTTCCATATATCATTGATGGAGGTAATGAGGACACTGAATCAGTTTTAATTTTTCAGACATGCTTTTTGCACGCATACACTCTCCCTACTTTTTGGGACTGATCACCATTTTAAACACGAAGCTCTATATGACAGCTGGACTTCCGCATGGCTTTCTATATCCTAATGGCTTTGTAAGAAAAATAAAGAATACCCAGTGCATTCCACAAAACAAGGTGTGGGAAGAACTTAAATATCTATCTGTGGATGAACAGATATATATATATATGTGTGTGTGTTTATGCATAAAGCATACATATGCAGTATGTATATGTATAGTGTATATGTACATTTTTATTTATATATGTGTACATACACAGAAACACAAACACAAGGCGAAGAATATATTCAAGAATCTTTAAATAATCCTGTATTATGGATGCAAAGTGACATTTTGAGGCACAAAATGCCAGTTTACTTGTTTAAATATAAGGTACCCACATGAAATAAAACACAGAGCCATAAATCCTATTATTAGAGAGTTTCACTCTGTGTTTGTCATTTCTACAATTTTGGAGGCTTTTTCCTGAGCCAGCGGGATATAATTTCTTAATGATACAATAATATCTTTCCTCAATTCTTTCTCCTGAAGTATTCTATGTTCATTTTTGCAACTTTAGTTCTGCTGGAATCAGGTAGAAGAAGGAACCTGGTACCTTTCTCCTTAGAAGACACTCCCAGTGCACACAGTGAAGCTTGGCATTTTTGGAAGCAATGAGAAATCTTTCAAATGATCTATGTGGATGTCATCTTTTCTGATGCGACAGTTTAATATTTTTGTGAGAAACAAAGATAGCCTTTTTATGGAGCCAGAGACTAGGCTTGAGAGAGTAATCTCAGTACCAAGGGAGGTGAACGAGTGATTTCCACCTTTGGCTCACTTATGTTACTAACACCTGAATAAAACATTCTTAATTATTTCTGAAGGTCTCCCTGGACATTTTTCACAATTTGGATGAGTCCTACATATATTCAGGTGTTTGAAAAAAATATTTTTTTTTTTTTACATGATAAAGGTTTTACATATGTTGTTACTTATTATAATTAAGATGTGGTCATAAAATTAAAACAAAATTATCAAAATAATATACTGGTTTGCAAGATATGTTTACTAGAAATATGAGCTGAGAATTTTCCCTGCACAATGAATATAATTCCTTTTTGGAGAAGTTTTGCGAGACACATTTTGAATTTGCAAATATCAAACATGCTAACATGAGCCCACATCTTTTAGATGCAAATTAAATGTACAGATTTTTTTGAGAAGTGGGGTCTTTATCTTCTCTTTTGGAGAACAGTTTTTAAAAGTAGGTCCCTGGAGAAAGTGAAAGATTTTGGAGGAATCATAAGAAAATAGGAAAAAAAGAAAAATAAGAAAAAAAGAAAAATGGGGGGAAAAAATAAAAGGAAACTGGTGTTGGGAATGGGGAAGACTGAGGAGAGCATTTTGACTAGGGTCTTCAATTTGCAATGTAAACTCTGTATTTCAGAGTTTACATTATATCCTCAGAATGAAACATATTAAAAAATTGTGTTTCCTGGTCCTGAGTGTTTCCCATAATGTCATATTGTGCCACTGAAACTGCCACAGTCTTCCTGCTTATCATCCCAGGTTTTTTTGCAAACTGCCGCGTCAGCCCTTTGCAAGATTGGGTCATGAGATATGAAAATTGTTGCTTCATTTCAACAATTTTACTACTTTTCTTTAAATAATAGCGTGGTATAGCATTCCCTGTTGAGTAAGCGCAAAAGATTGCCCTTTGCCCACTTTCTGTATTTTTCTGTACCTGGCAAGCCAGCAAAATCCATGAATTTTACTAGCTCTTAATAAATACTCAGCAGTGATATGAAGCAGCAGGGGAGATGCAAAAGGAATAATAATTCTATTAAATGAAAAAGAGTAGGATTAAGTCAGTTCATTTATGTTCAGGAAGGAGAAGGAATATGCTTACATATGATAAAAATAAACTGATGAAATATCTAATATTTATAGAACATTGCTCCGAAGTCATTTCAATGTGAATAGCAAATTGCCTTTAATCTTCTCATCTGAGCCAGGCTTACCTTCAAGTCTGCGCTCTCTCCCCATTTCTTTTGTGGGAGCTCCTCCCATTTTCTGCTAGAGGGAGAAAGCAGGGAATTAGGGGGTCTCCCAACCTTGGGGCTGGAAATGCATCAATACAAATTACTTATGCCCCGGTCTAATTCATTATATTTCTGGAGCTATAGTAGGGAAGCATTCCTTTTCAAAATCCCACTATAAGGGAGAGCTGCATGCTGCCACCATGACCCTGAAAAGTCCCAAGGGCCAAAGAGCAAACACCACTCTCAGGACATTGCTCAGCTGAGGAGTATTGCACAGCTGCATCGAAGAAGCACTAGACACAATGAAAATATTTACATTTTATCCACAGTTTAACAGTAAAGAATAATATCCCACTCCCTGCCAAGCAGAATCAGACACCATTTGTTTCAATACCAACATTGCTGTTGGGTCATTTTTGGAAAACCAGAAGAACATAGTTCCCTGCAAAATGGTCCAGTCCACAGTTCTTGGTAAAACTGGTGCAGTGATAGAGCAAACGTGTAAGAAGAGGTTGGATATTCGGGATCCATACCTCGCACTGTAGCCATTTACCTCTCTTTTACCACTATTTCAGATGATGTTTGGATAATACCTAAGCCCCTCTGTCACCAACATAGAAATTTGTCATTTTATATTAAGTTTTCCTCCAAAATGTCCATCTGCTGTTCTACTCATCAAAACACCATTGTTATTTCATCAGGAGAAGGGCTACTTATAGGCACTGGCCACATTTCAGTTCCAGTTTTGTCATTTGGCTTTGGCTAAAACACAGTGCTGACTGGAAGGCGAATGCTCAGTATGGAGTAGCTGCTTTCTGACTTGGGGCCAGCTGCCCTGGCCATACCACTCCACTCTTCACCATGCCCAGCTCATGCCTGTTCAGTGCTGTTCCTTATGCACATCCATGTCCTTCTCTACGCCACCAACTTTCCTTTGTCTTGTCTTGTCTTTTCCATGGTAACAACCTGACACATGCAAAACCTGGTCTTGCTGGGTCTAGTCTGGCATATTCAGAGACTGCCTAATCCCTGCAACACTTTCTATGGTGTTTGCATTTGGATTGTTGACATGGTCAAGAACATGAAGCAATTATCATCATGACAGGTCTCAGTTAAGCCCATGTACTGTTAACTTGATGCTGTTATTTCCTCACCAATGCGTACAGAAAGCTTGGATGGGATAGAGACAAACCTGCATAAGGGAGTAGGCATTACCACAGAGATGGGAAAAAAACCCCTGCACTCTCCTGACAGGAGAGATATTGATATGCCCAACTATGGCACATGGAAATGGAGTCTGCTGCAAATTGAGGTAGTAAATTAGGCTCGTCTTTTGGCATTGGGCTAATACACTCCTGAGCAGTGAGGTCAATGACATTTCCCTGCACTGTAGCAGCTATTATGGACTCAACTCATCTCTGCTTTCCAGATCCTAGTGCCTCACTTCAGCTTCCTTAGTGTCACATCACTGCTGGTCTCTTTGAGGAACAAAAGATGGGAATTACTCACTTTTCTGTTAAATTAAGACAGCAAGAGAAGTATTTACTCTCTACAACTACCTGAAAGGAGATTGGAGGAAGGTGGGGGTCAGTCTCTTCTCCCAGGCAACCAGCAGTAGGACAAAAGTCTTAAGCTGTGCCAAGAGAGTTTTAGGTTAGACATTAAGAAAAAATTCTTTACAAAGAGAGTGATCAGATGTTGGAATGGGCTGCCCAGGGAGGTGGTGGAGTCCTTGGAGGTATTTAAGAAGAGACTAGATGTGCCACTTAGTGCTATGGTCCAGTGGACAGGGTGGTGTTGGGTCATAGTTGGACTCGATGATCTCAGAGGTCTTTTCCAACCTAGTTGATTCTGTGATTCTGATTCTGTGATATCTGTGATGAAACATGAAAATTGTCCATTCATACACAGTTACGTTTAGTTATGTTTAGATAGTAGGTTGCATCTTTTCTCTAATTTCACTTTTTTAATTGCTTCACTCTCTGTCATAGTCTCTCATGGATCATCATTTGTACATTTCCATGCTGCATTTCCCTGTTCTGCAAACAGCTTGCTAAATGGAGGGTATGAGTCCAGCACCCTGCTGGGCACTTCCATTGCTGACACCTGAAGTTGCCAGGGCTGAGCTCCTGGGAGGCTACCAGGAACCTGCTGCTACCTGCCTGCTCCGTGTTCAGGTGGACAGGAATTACATCAAACAGGCAGGAAATCCCCCTGGACTCTGCTTGCCAGCTGTCCAAAACTCCTTCCGTTAGGCTGCATTGCTAACTTACAATGCTGAGTAAGGTGCGGGAATAGATGGGGCTGACCCGTGGCAAGGGCAATTCACTCTTTCATTCAGAGATGGGGAAGACAAAATGCAGAACACAGCATGCTGCCTATATACGCTCCTGGAATGTATAATTTGTCAAAATAATGTTCTTTTAATACCTGATTAGACTTTCTTGCCAGCCTGAGGCACTAGTATTTCTTATGGTTAATCAGGATCCCTGGTGCCAGAGTAAGCACTCCTGTGCAGCAACCCCACTCTTCCGTTTCAGTGAGGTAATGAAAAAACAGCCTGATTTTAAGTCAGTTATTTTTACAGGATATCCATGGTACCTTCTGGAAGAAAAGTGTGAAATAGAAAGTGTGTTATGCTATGATTTTAGAGGTTACTTAAACACCCTATGGAGGTGCTTTACAGAAAAGTCTGTGTCAGTAGCTAAGTAAATAATGTATAAGGAGCAGATATAAATTTGGGTTGCAGTGAAGAAGGAAAAGTTGGAAAAGAGAGTGAAACAATGCAACGCCACTTTGATTCAATCTTCTGCAGTCAAAAAAAAAGTACATGTTTTAGATACACATTCAGTAATTTAAATCTGCTGACCTTTAATTCTCACTTAGAATCTATGAAACAATGTGAAATCCATATTTCAGGTAAATATGTGACCTTGTACCAGAGTCAACTTGTTAAGCTAGAGATAGAGAGGATGTGTCAAGGGATAGTCTGTTAAATAAAGCTATGGTATGAAGGACATTCTCTTCAATACAAATATTTCACCTCTTGATATTTACTGTGCAGGTTGTGGCTGTGAAATCCTTCCCTTTGTGCATGGACTTTTTTAGCTGTTCCCATTTTCATTTTTCTTGTGCTCCTATTAAAATTCACATCACACCATAGTTCAGTTCTATTAAAAAAAAAATCCCACTATATTCTTTCTCTGATACATTCCTGTGCACAGTTTTGGTAGCACTTATCTCACCTCCATTGATATTGTTAAAGTTTCATACCAAGCCTTCACACTGTTCTGCTTTTGTGTAATCTTTATAGTAATAGAGCTAATTCAATAATATTCACACTGCCAAGTGAAGAAACCCATAATGTAAAACTCAATTACCTTTTCTATTCCTTTTCTCAGTTGCTCTTCTGCTGTGCTTACTCTTTTATCTTTTTCACTGTAAACAGGTAGCTTATTTAAATTTAATAGACACCACTGCCTTCCTCGTTTCCTTTTTTTTCCTTTGAACCTTCTAGACACTCTCATGAGATGTTCATTCACCTTTGTGTAATACCATAGTAATAGTAATATGGGAAAAAAAATTAACGATTGCATGCAAGCTATACTAAAGGCCTAATGAACACTTTGTTTTTAAAGAATGTCACTTGGATTCCTAACTGCACTTTGGTAAATTATACAAATTAAATATTCATTACTTTGTACTTCATTAGTTCACATTTGGAACACTTTTTCTTCATTATAGTAGCCTGGGGTAAAGGTTTTTTAATATGGTTTATTCTGTTATTTTTCAGAAAATCTTTAGTTAAAATGTTAGAGGAAAGTTGTATTTATTCCACAACAGAACAGAACATCCATATATTCCAGAGACTGAGAATTTTCTCCCACAAGAATATTATGTAGGTTCAGAAATTGTTCAGACTTCTTATTTCAATAACCAAAGTAACTAAATATTTAAACTGATTCTTGCAGTAAGTTTGCTTACTGATCATATCCCCACTCAGAAAGAATTACAATTTCATCAGCATGAGCAATACCTGTGAAGCACAAAGCATGTGTTCTTACACAAAGCACTGTTGCCTTGCATTGCTCGCGGTCAATGCTGCCTGTGTCTCCTCAGGGGGTTTATTTGGTGCAGGAGGCAGATGCTGCTCACTAGCCTTGAGAAAGTGGAAGGAGTTACAAGGAGGATGGCAGCTGGGGGTTCAGTAGCCCTGGTTCCCCCTGAGATAAGGTGGCCATGAGATTTCCTCTGCCCCACAAGACCCTGGCCAGTGCAGAGAAGTTCTTGCAGCTATTTGAAACATTGGAAGGATGTTAGCTGAATGAAATCCCTTAAAATGTTTAGTGCCTCTGATTTGTTTTCCTCACATGTTCCTTCATCCTCAGACATGGTATCTGGGGATACAGTCCATCTCCAGAAAGTCTCCTCACAAGCTGTGCAACACTTTAAAACAGAAAAGTATTTTTTATTTTGATTGTTTATGGGCATTAAGCCGTGTCAAACCTTGTTGTTCAGATCTGAAACTAGGGAAGCTGGCAATTTCAGCTGAATTTCAGATGCACTGGATGGAGTGCATTTTATTAAAATAAAATCTTACAAGAGCTTGGGTTTAGCTTGTTGGTTTTCAGTGAGCACACAGTTGTTAGATGTAAAGGAGAGATCCCTGACCTGGTGATTAGTAACTACACAAAGAGAAATAATTTGCTTTGTAGCTCAGCTGTCATATTGCTCCTTACCAGGAGAAACAGTCTTTTAATTCTCTTTGCAAGTAGCCCTCAGCAACAGAATGTGTTTGTGTGAATGATGGGATGAAGTGAGTGTGTTGGCCTACCCATACATTATCCTTATCCATTGATAGGGCTGTGGAGTGCTGAGCTGCACATGTTGAATGCTTAAGACCCAATGTAGGGTCAAGTGTAAAGCCGAGCTTTACAAAACTTCACAAATGCAGGGTTGAAAACCATGGTCCATGTGACTTCACTGAGGTTACCCAGGGAACCCATAGAAGAACTATGAAGAATTACTGTCTTATGATTCCTCTTCTTCTCCATCAATAGCAATTTTTTATCTGCTCTTCTGCTAAAACACTTTGTTGAAATAAAGTGTGATGGTTCTAGTTGCTGCTATAGGATGCAGGAATATCGCTGTGTTTAAATGAGACTGTGACCACTTTAGGTCCTCATCCTTCCCCAGCCAGCAGGTACTGTGCACATTTTGGCAAGCCAGCTATTCTTGTTGTGCCTCTGGCAGTACAAGTGGAAAACTGGAGAGAGAATAGGACACTGCTGAAAAGAAACAGGTGCATCTGTACTAGGTTAATAAATCAGAAACAGGCAAACATTAAATCTGAACAGTGTCCAGCTCTCTGTGTGCCTGCATTTTGCTGCATACTAATTTTCTCTTTTTTTTTTTTTTTTGTGAGAACTACATCAAACATAAATCAAGTTCTATCTCAGAGACTGCATGAAAATCAAATCATGCATGGATCTTGTTTTATTTGCTGAGAACAGGCATCTCCAGACTATGTTTAGAGCTTCTAGGGGATGCAATTGAAGAGGTATAAATTAAGGTAAGACGCTGTGTTACCAGTCACTGTTTCTTATACAGGTAGTTGTATTAAGAGCAGTAAACAAGCACCACTTGAAAAGGTTAAGGTAATAGCCAGGAATGGGTCAAAAGTGCGGCATTCTTGGCCATTGCATGTTTTATTAAGCAGCTACATGGTCCACCGGATAGTTATTTCCAATTTAGCTGGACAGGTTGCTTTGTTATGAGACAGCCCATGAAAGTCATGTAGTCCATAGCTTCTTTAGCTTCTTGCAAAAGGCTCCTTTTAAAAGTTGTGTTGCTGTATTGTTGGTGTCCTTTCACATTGTGCACACACATACAGACCTGAAGCCTAGGCAGAATTCCCTCACTAGTCAGGGGATTCAGTTCCTCATTCCCTGTGTCCTCTGCTTTAATGGACTGTAGCACTGGTTTGTTCCTGGTTGCCTTTTCCTAAACCTTTCACCCTTGGGGCCAATGTCTCATTCAATGACAAACTTCAGAGTAATTCCCTCCAAAATATGTCCATATTAGTCCCCAGTTGAGTGTTGCCTATCAGTTCGCATTTGTACACATCTGTGTGTGCTTGTCGGGGTGAGAACTCTGGCACACATTATCCTCTGATCTGTGTCCAAGTTTGCCTCTCAACAGACCTATGTAGTTTGTTCTGATTCAGAGGCTGTGGATTAATTTCCAGGCATACAGTGCAGTAACTAAGGGATTTTGGTCCCTTTGATTGAGTCAACAAAGCTGGCCATATGGACATACTCTGGAACTACAGTTTTTTACTTCAGGAAGATATGAAAAAAGCAACCATAGGCAGTGGCCGACATCTACACACAGAATTTGCCTAGGGTTCTAAAACATGCTTCTTAACTGAGCTCCTCTTCCAGTGAGTGAAGAGCAGTGCTTCTCTCTTGCTTCAGCCAGCCCTTCAACCCAATGTCTCTCATATAATGAGTCCTGAGGAGTTCTGGCCTTGTTCTCCTGAAGGTCTTTGGGGAGGACATTCACCTGAAGTGAGAAGATGGCTCACTTTAACTCCATTGGTGCTAAAGGACTCATCAACATCATAGTATGTTGAACATAGTCAGATTTCCCCAAAAAACAGTGACTAGTTATGAACTTTGAATAAAAGGGACCATTCAACACTTATGAAGATGGCTTCACTAGTGGAAGTAAGAGGACTGTATGTTTAATGCAGGAAACACATAGAAACTATATTTCTTAACGTAGTTTGCAATGTGTAAATAAGAACATCTGATGATACAAACAGTAACATACAAAATTAATATCTTCTTGTCACAGTTTGAGACTTTCAAAAAATCCAATTTCCAAATTTCCAACCCCCCTCCCACAATTTGCTTCAGTGTGAGAGGGTTTTTCCAGACATAACACATCTACTAGCATGGGGAAATTATATCAAATTTATTGCTACACAATAAATACTATAATACATTATATACAACAATTCTAACTATCTCTCCTATGGTAAAGCAATATATTTACATTAGATCAAGTCCCTCCTTTCCCTCCAATAAAAGTTCAGAAAGAAAGAAGAAAAGGTCTTTTCTACTCTCAGGGCAGCAGTGTCTGTCCTCTTCAAGGCAGCAGTCGTAACTGGAGTTGTCGTAGCTGGAAAATCTCTCTCTCTCTTTACTACAACACAGGGGTTTTTACTCACCCCTCTTGGCCCTTCAGCTCCAACCGAAGGTCTCATCTACGGGCCTCGAGAGAAACAGCTTGTTATCACCACAGTCGACATTCATGAGGTACAGGGGTAAAAGCTCAAAGTCTTTAATCCTCCGCTCTGTGGACAGACTCTCGGGAGACTCCTCTGGGGATTTCCACCCCTCCTCCCCAGGGTCAGAACGTTTAGGGGCTCTCAGTTCAGTTTTTACCCCAAGCGTTCTAGCAGAGCTCCTTTGCTCTGTCTCAAACTGCCAACGTGGCAAAGGGTGAGGGGAAAGGAAGACGACTTCTCCCGCATTCCTTCTGGCCATCCTGGTCCAGCTCCAGGACATCTCTGCATTTCAGAACTCCCTTCAAATGGAAGTCCATCCCCTCCAAAAGGGGTCTCAAGGGTTTGGGGAAATAAAGCCAAGACTCACCCAAAACAGTCTCTGCTAAGCTTAGTCCTCTCTCTCTCTCTCCATCGGACAGCTCTGTGTCTCTCAGCTTGGCTCCATGCCGTCCTTTGCTGCTTCCCTCTTATCTTCTTGGCTTTCAGCCACAGCTCTCTACTCAGTACTACTTATGCTGCCACTTCAGTGTCTCTGGCTGTCCACTCACAGCAAAGAAACTTCCCCCAGCTTTCTTGGCCACAGTACTCGGCCCAGTTTAACACTGTTCTGAGTTTCCACAACCCCAGCTGGGGGCTGGGGGGCCTTGGCCCCCAGCGGAGCTCCCTGGCCCCTCTCTCCTTGTGGTCTCAAAACATGGCTACCTCTCTTCCAACTACATAATCTCTTCTTTTCTGGCCTGTTGTGATATGTTTAATTTTGCAGGGGTGCTGATTGGGTCAACACCAAGAACACCACCCCCTGGAGTTATCCATTTTCTAACTCCAGGGGAAACCCCTTTTTAACCCACGACACTTCTGCAAGGCCCTTACATAGCTTGAGGCAAAACTCAGGATGGTTAACAGTCCCCTTGCGTGTATTATCCAACAAGAAGACCTGTGTTCATTAAATATTTTTATTATTAGTTGAGATTGCCTACACTCTAGAATACAGCTGTAATTGACAGCTCAAGTTGTGATTCCTATTGCATTCTCTCCAAATAAAACAAAATCCTAAAATAATATAATACTGCAGCTATATCTAATCACAACCATGCAGAGCAATAGGAATTCTGTGCTTATTTCACTATGCTTTTAACATGTTTGAAAATGGTGTGGCCTAGGACAGATCTTGTACTTCATCATGAGTGTGCAGGGGAGATGGGAATAATGGCATGGCACCATGAGCTGGTTTATAGCCATCTCGTTGGTGATGCCTCATTTTACTGAAATGGAACAGAGCATCCTGGCTCCCTGCATATAACTTTTCCTTGAACAATGTTAAGGGTTTTTTGTTCTGTTTCAGGTCGTTTTCAGACCCCAGTAACAATCAGCTCTGATATTCTGTGTGGTAAATGAGAAGGAGATAGGAGAGAAGAAATTCACCTACCCAGTGCAAATGTTATGCAGGAGAGTCATAGAGTTGGAGGAGAAGAAAAATACTTAAAAAAAAAAAAAGGCAAAAAAATAATCTAAAAATGACCTATGATATTTGATGTGGGGTAGTACAGGAGGATAAAAACTAGAGACAGAGGGGTGAAGCCCAAAAAGGATTTAGGATTGGCAGCAGGCTAAATATTGGCCCCCAGGCTACATTCCCATATGATGCTGACGGGTCTCACCTCTCCACAGGCAACCAACATGTGGCTGAGTATTACTGGCATTCAGGAAATATAAAACAGTGTGTAGGGACTTGTCTAACTTGACCAATAGGTGTGCAAAAGACAGGATGCCTCTTAACCCTGACCTTCTCTGAGGTGCAGGTTCTTTGGAGTGGACATCAGGGAAATGCCTCTGGGCTCTGCTGAGCCTTATCCTTGAACATGCTCCTGTGCCAACCTTGTCCTACAAAATCCAGGTGAAGGGTTATGCAATAGCTCAGCTCTTGGACTCATCCAGAAGAAAAGTGTAAGATCAGATTGCAATTTCTCTGTTGTAGAATGGAAATGCAGATACTAATCTGAAAGTTGTAAATACTGTACTGCAATTAGTATGTCTTTCTGCACTCATCTCAGTGCTTTAAGGTTGAATTTTTCTTTGTTTCCTGAGCCTATGACAACTACTTAAAATACTAACACTTCAGTTTTACTATTATAACACAGAACAAACAATATGCATTTTTCTACATTTGCAAGCCCTTCTGACTAGGAGTCATGTAAAGTAATGATGAATCTCCCCAATTTTTTAATTTCTCTTCACTCCTGCAAAAAATTCTCACAGGTATAAATTAGATGAGGCCAGGGACACATTTGTAATATCACATCTTTTCCTGGTAACAATAGGAAATCAGAGAAGTCCCTCAAGTGGAGTGCATTAAAGGTGGCAGAACAAAGATCTTGAAGAGACCTCATCAAACACAGACAATATTCAGCATTAATTCAGTGTCCATGCAGATGGACAGGAAATAAGGCCTGAGCGACAACTTTATTCGGTAAGTCATACACTGCTGAAAATTTTATGAAATGATGCAACATATGTGCAAAACAGTGGGGCTTTTCATTAGCAATGCTTGATTAAGATACAGTGAAAATGTAATTTTCATTAGCTATTTGTCAATAAAAGGCATGAAAAATAATTGAGATTAAAACCTTACTCTGCATAATTCTGCCTTTGTGTTTGCAGAAGAACCCTTATCACAATACCTTTTAATAATATGGAACACCTATTGCAGCATTTGTTTTGTCCCATTATGCTGGGAATACTAATTGTTCTCTTCATTTTGCCTTCAGCCAAAGCTCCCATTTGTGATGTGGAGCATTATCTTTTCCAGTATTCTTACATCAGTGGTGTCTATGAAACATCTGGCAGTTCCATTGCTGTGGACGCTATTTTAGCCAAAGGTACATTTTCACATGCCGACTCTCAATTGCTTTCATAAAAGCTGGCATGTGTGCAATGGCTTGTGTCCCATGAAAGGACATTTGTATTGTACCTTATGCTGAATTAAAACCAGCAGAGAGAGTCAGAGATAAAAAAGGTGAGGAGAGTGCACAGCCCTAGGGCACTATAATGAATATCATTCTCATGGAAAATGTCATTACTGCTGGCATTTGAGATTGAAAATAGGAAAAGTTATAATAAACCTCTCTCATAATAATAGTAATAACAATCCTTTAGAATAATTTTTAAATTAACCTTATTAGTAAATTCATTTAGGTTTAGTTATTTCCCTGATTCCCAGCAGAGGAATTCTTTAGAGGGCTAACGCCAGCAATGTGTTTCCTCCTTTTCTGACAGCTTTCCTTGAACTCTACATGGAAATCAATTTACCTCCTCATTCTTCATAGAGGTGGCAGCTTCTACATAGAAATACTCCTTTAAACAGAAGCCAATTAAAGGGCTGGCAAACTGTTTTCAGAAAAGAAAGCTGCCTGTTCCAAAGCACTGAATACCAGAGCCAACTACAGAAGAAAAACCAACAACCAATTTTGTTTTTCCAATTTAAAAGGAAAACCATCCTGGTGCAAGATGCTTCTAAGTGACATGGGGCTAAAGGAAGACACCATAGTTAAATGCAGAATAATAATTTTTCTTGGCTTTCTGTCGTAGCACACAATTATCTGTGAGTAATGCTACAAAGCAACCAGTGAGCAGGGCACTTAATAAAGCCCAAACAACTGTCACATGTAGGTTATAAGGTTATTTCTCAAACATAAATAAACTGGAAATCCATCCGATGGATGGAATTTGAGAAAGTGTTATGAAGTTTACCACAAAATAAAAAATGAGTTTCACATGTTATTTTATTTCTCAAGGGCATTTTGCTAAACATATGCATATATTGTCACAGCTTACCCACAAAAAAAAGAAATTGGTATCACAGGGATTTTAAAGATGAAGTGTTCTTTAATTGCATGGTATATTATTTTTTATTATATAATCACAATCAAAATGTACAATTATGCAATGATGCAGCTCATGGTGCATTTGATAGCTTTTTCCTGATTCAAAATAGTGTAGGTAAATTTTATTATTGCCTCGTGGAATATAAAACTGAAACACAAAATTCTGTGTCAAAGGCCATAATGATTTACTGGTTCCCTAAGTGAAGCATCCAAATCCAAGTCCAGTGCAGTGAGTGAGTAGCTGGGCTTCAAATATAATATTCTCCTGCAGATCAGCATTTGGCTGCTGCCCTTTGTGCCTTTTGAGCTCAGCAGAGGCTGCAGATGTTCAGCATCTCTGAAAACCAACATTTCCTGATTCACATTTTAGGCACTCAAATTCAAGCCTCTTGTTTTAAATTAGACTCTTAAAATTTCCTGGAGGGGATGTCTGAATCAGCAAGCCCACTACTTTAACCACTGACCAAGGGCATGCAGAACAGCCCTTGTGCCAAGGGTCCCTTGGTGTTGGTTTTCCCAGGGGCTGCCCTAACTTTCAGGGACCTACATCCTAATGGCACTGTCCTGATGGTATCTGCCACAATTCAGCTGAACATATGAAGTCAACTTTTCACCAAACACTTTGGCTTCCTATTTACGCTGGACTGGCATGGGGAAGTGTTGCCTTTATTCACGATAAAGGCAAATATAGCCTGGGGCCTGGCTGTCTGGGATTCCGCTTTTCACCTCATGATCGTCCATGGCAACTGGGGTCGTATTGAGTGCTGGCGCTAGCAATCCTTGTATTTCAGTGGGTCCTCTAAAGAAAGAAACCTCCACATTCTTGGAAGCAACCTAAATTCAGGTGCCTTTCCAGCCAGTGGGATGTGGGATGCTTGCTTTCTCTGAGATGGTGAGGGGAGTTGGGAAGGATCTCATTCCAATTATCTTTCAGTCTTTTGCCTTTAAAAGGAGAGAGAACTTTGTGCATTTTATTAAATTGCACCGAAGTAAGTCACTAGGGCACCTTCGGTGAATCTAAAAATAAATGAAATAAAAATTGCTTTTGAGAAGGCTATAAGAATGCCAGCCATGCATAGGTCTCTCCCTGAATACTATGTGGCATGAAGTTATGCAGCACTGATTTGAATCTTCTCAGAGACAAGATAGGGAAACCACCTTAACAGATGTCACTTGTGCAGCCCAGAATAACCAGGCTGCCTCTGGTACAGGTCTGCTGGTCTCTCCTCCCTGTGCTCCTCACAGAGGGTCACTGTGAACACTGCTGTATCACATCTCACTGTAACATGTCATTTTGACACTGTACAGAATTCAATAAAGCAAAAGGTCTGATGGGCCCACCAGATACCCTAAAAATGGTAAATGACAGAGGGAGGGAGGAGCCTTAATCTTCACTGCCCACAAGCTCCTGTTTATACAGCTGCAAAGGGAAAACAGAAGTCCATAGGAAAGCCGATTTCCTAATAAGATGAGAAAGTACAATGTTACAGAACCTTCCAAGCATTCTTTCAGTGTGCCATGTATATCTTTAGGAGTGCAAGCAATAGAAAGAGAGGGAGACAAAAGGGGGTTCAAGGAGGAGGAGAAAGACCCACCTCTGCAATTCTCTAGGCCCTCCACCTTGCCACAGATGCTTTGCGCTCCACACCATTGATACCTGTAAAACCCTGGAGCTGAAATCCAAGCATGAATAATAAGGACTTTTTCAGCACTATACCATTTCAGACACCCACATACAATGCACATTGTGAATGATTGCCAGGATCAATGAAGAGATCTTGCCATGGCCTCCACAACCAACAGGGTAGAACAGGAACTTCCTGTGCCCTTGGGAGCTCCCGTTTTGATTAAACATCTGAGAAATTTCCCAAAAGACTACTACACTCAATCAATATGACATTGCTTCAACTAATGAAAATCTTTTAACATTCAACATCCTTTGAATCATGGATTAGAGAGGGCAAGTTAGTTCAGATACTGAACTACATTTTAAATTACATAATTGTCTAGTAACATCACTGTATATATTAGAACACCTATTTTCAATGGAAAACTCCAATGTTCTTGAAATTCTATTTTGAAAGCTGCAAAAACTGATTATTTTAGTATTTTGAAGTATTTTGAAAGCTTAAACAAGCTTTCAGGCTTGCTAACGTCAGTCAAATTCAATTGCATATTCTTTAACATAGAAAAATAAATGAATACATCATGTAATTATTACTGACACCTAAAAATCTTGAAGTTAAGGCATAACTACTTACACGACTGTATTTATTGCGAGATTGTGGATATTTCATTGTCAGTAAAATATTTTTCTATCATATGAAATATGTATATTTTATTATATAAAGGCAAAGTAATTAATAAATTTTCTAGTCTTTACTTTCCTTTTTTAGATTACAAAAAATATTACCTGAGGTTTTGTTACTGTACTAACTGTTCACATATTTAATGTTTGTATTTTATTTTCCTTGTGTGACAATTAAAATGTTGTGGCTTACAGGAATGTGTTAGATATACTGGTAAGACTCTGCCAAATATTTTCACAAAAATCTCATGTAAAGCTCTAATGTGTAAAATTCTTCTTATATTGTAGCCTATCACAGTAACATTTACAAATGCATTTTAATCCAAGTCCCCCACAACTAATCTTAAATTTGAAATTAGTAGGTTATGTCATTGACTGAGGTACTATATTTTTACCAAACTATGAGGGACTAACTTTTTTGGAGTAAAAGCTTAAAAGGTCTTAAGAATTACGTTTGAGTTTGGGTTTTGTTTGTTTTGGAGTGGGGTGTTCTTAAGGAAAAGAAAATTAACAGAGAGAAGATGATGCTGAGCCCAGTTTTTGCAGCTAAAGTGGGTATTGGCATAGGAAGGCCATTTCCTATCACAGTGTTTATATTACAGAATCACAGAATGGGTCAGGTTGAGAGGGATCACAGCGGATCATCTGGTCCAACCTCCCTGCTCAAGCAGGGTCATCCTTGAGCACCTGGCACAGAATTGCATCCAGACGGCTCTTGAATATCTCCGGTGAGGGAGACTCCACAACTTCTATGGGGAACCTGTTCCAGTGCCTGGTCACTGCACAGTGAAGAAATTCTTCCTCATATTCAGATGGAATTTCCCATTCATCAGGTTCTGCCTGTTGCCTAATAAGTCTAATAAGACTGACACAGGTAAAAAAAGGTGAACTTTATCCTAAAATCATTAGATCTGCATTTAAATTTCAGGAATTTTTCAGATAAGATTGAGAACCAAGAATAGTTGGGGTTACGCCTTATTTTTCAGCTGTATGCATTCTGTAAAGTAAGTTTTATTTCTCTTTTTTTTTTTTTTTATGCAAAATGCATATTTTAGAATGTAAAAAAAAAAAAAGGGGGAGAAAATATTTTCCATATTTATACTACGTGCTGTAACTCATGGACTCCCAGCATTTTGTATCTCAGCTTCCGCCTCTAAACATGTTCTGAGATAAAATACCAGACATGAATCAGATTGAGATCCAGGTCTACTTTACATATTTGGAAGGACTGTAGAGAAAAGGCGGGGAATTGAAGGGCACATCTGACAACTCTTTTGGGGAAGCTCCCTGGAGAGGTGGAGGAAAAGGAAGAGGAAAACTCTTAGATGTTCAAATCAAAGGGATTTTTCTGCCTGAAATAAAGTAAATGTAAGCATACAGATTATTTTCATGAATTAAAATGGTTAGAATATCAACCGCAAGCAGACTTGATTTGATCAAGAGATCACTGAATTCAAACTTTTTTGGCCCTTACATCAAATGAACCACAAAGAAGAAGCAGTACCTTTTCCCTAATTACAGTTACAGCATAACTTGAACACAATTTTTTGTAGAACAGTGTCAGCTATAACTTACCACATACAAAAAAAGGTGTTCTCTAAAAAATAATGCAAGTCTATGTCAGGGAATTGTACAGATCACACCTTGGCTGTCAGCCTAGACATGATCTATAGATATATCAAATTCTTCTCACGGGGAAGTATTTTATGTCATGTCAATTTTGCCTGGCCTTGTACAAGGATACAAGTCAATGCAAGAAGCATTGTACTCTGAATTTAATTTCTTTTATGGAGCTAGGTAAAAGACTATCTTACCAATAAACAGCACTTCCCAGCTGTCTTGGACCCTGTAAGACCATTCATTGCTGGTCTAACAACCTCATGTTCGTTCTGCACTACATTCTTGCTGGACTTTCAGTCAGAGTGTCTCTCCAAGTCCTCGAAAACTGCAATAAGCATGAACCACGAATGTTTAACAATGAATACTGTAAAAATCTGGGATAGATGAAATAGAGGAAGGAAGAACAAAAGAATCATTAGGACAATAAGGTGATGAAGACATAATAAAATAGATAAAAATGTAAATAGGAAACAGACAAATTCTCATATTTAACTTTGCAACAAAATCAGTAGCAGCATCATCAGGTCATCATAGGAACACAGTTATGAAGCCTTTGTACAACACTCACACAGCTGAAATTCAAGGGTCATCTCATCATTGGTTCGGGTCCACAACATGGAATTTGCTAGCATTGTGAAAGGCACATGTGCAACAAATACATCGCCTCCTTTCCTCCACCCATACTGACAGTGTCCAACGCCAAAGTCGCTTCACTATGACTGAGGGATATTTTGAGAAAAGTCTTCTGCAGGGTGGAGTTGACACTGTGGAAACACAAAGTCTCACAGGTCTCAGAGCTTTTGCAGCTCTTTTTTTAAAGGTTATGTTACCTTAATTCTAATAATTTGCCTTTCTTACATATGTTCCTGTTCAAATGCCTCTGATCTGTCCTTTTTCCTCCAAGAGCAGAGGCAGAAACTGTGAGAATTAAGACCAAGGACATCAATTTCTCGCTATTGACTGATGCA